AACCTTGAACTGTGATTAGGGCTTAGGAACAATAAAAAAACTGAATGAAAACAAACTGGAACCATTGTGATAGTGCGCCGTGACCAGGGCACCTCGTACGCTGGGGAGTTCCTATGGGGATCGTTTTTGGTCGCTGGAAGATGGGAGCTTAGTTCTTAGATGGTTGATTCTTCCTATTTCACGGGCGCAAGGGGGTCTTGTTTGCTCGTCACTCTAAGTGGGGTTTTATGGTTTTAAGAAAAATCTCCCGATTATTGACTTTCCGCGCTTTTTCCATTTCATACGAGACTCCCCCTCGCTCGGCGGGAAGTTTTTTGAGGCAAAACCTGAAAATGTCTTGGAAAAAAGAGAAAAAGTGGTAGGCAGTTGGGAAAAGTCAATGCTATGGCAGGGTAGGTTGGGAGGAATATATCAGTTTCATACACTCCATACCCCGTAAGTGAAGGAGGGCGTGGCTGCGTACTTTATTTGACATGGCGGCTGCACCTCTCCTTGGATCTGCTTTGGGACATTGTAAACGAGCTTAGTCCAGTACAAGCGAAGGTGGCATTTGTCTCAAATGGAGGAGACTCTACGAGAAACTAAGAAAGTCATATTCGAGTGAAAGGCTCGCCACGCCCACCCTATCCCCGGGATACGGAGTACAGGGCTATCCAGAGAAAAAGAAACGATCTGTATTTTGGAACAATCACAAAGGCTGAATTTGTTGTTTGAACTACATCTTGACTTTTCTTCCCTGGGAAAAAGCTTCCATGGGTCTCGAGAAAAATCCAGAGCTCCAGATCCTCGGAGAAAATCTGGCAATAGGGGTCTTATTTTGCAAAAAATTTCCCCAGCGAGAGGACATGCTCTAATCGTGGCCACGGAATGACCAAACGTGACCGCTGCGCGACCATCCGCCTACAACTCACCTAATCCGCCCATATGACGAGGATTATACGTGTCTTATGGCATTACCGCTCGAACGTGACAGACCAGCAAAGGGCAAACCGCTTAAACCAAACAATTCACAGGAATTTATTGATGACGTAGATTTATAGCCTGCACGTGATAAAGGAGGGATAAAACGTGCACGTGCTAATGAAAGCGAGCTGAATGCTAAACTCTTGAAAAAAAAACAGCGATGACCGATAGCTTCGAAGGTGAACGTGATAATCAATGATAAAACGGTAAATGAAAAAAGATGTTCAAAAACTCTTTTAGAAAGGTTAATGAAGCGGATAATTCGATTTAGTGAGGTGGAACTGAAGATGGAGAATTCTCTGATGGGAACGGTTCCGTACTAGTTTCCAACAGGGGGACGACTGGGAAGAATAGAAAGGGGAATCGACCTTGGAGGGATAATATTTCAAGGAAATCGGAGGGCTATGAGCTGAAGTGTGCGCTATTTCGGGGATGGCAATACCCACGGTTTTTTGGGTTACCCTGAGTAAACATCTGAAAAATCTTGATTGCCCAAGAGCCAAACTTGAGCCGAACTAAAGTGCTTGGGAATCGCCTAAACAAGCATACGCAGCTGAAATTGAGGCGAGTTTTTGCCTGCTGTCAGCAGATGACCGAATAGAGGTCTCACCAATTGGACGCAGGGATACGGTAGTGCAATACTGTAGTTGTTACCTGTAGTTGTTGTTGTAGTGGTGGTTGTAGTGGTAGTGGTAGTGGAGGTAGAAGTTGTAGGTGATGATGTATCGCGATGGTGTCGTCGTGATGTTGTAATAGTGGTTGCCGGTTTGTCAGTCGAAGATGTCGGCCGCAATTCGATCAACTCCCAGAATCGGATCGGCTCTTTCACATTCTGTTGGTCAATGTCCGGTGGCTGCCAGATACGGACACGAACCTGCGCAAGCGCTGCGCAGTTGAGCAGTACGAGTAGAGAGACTGAACGTATTGTGGATATCATAGAGATGTTAGTGCTGTAGCCGAGACACTACACCTGACCAGGAGGGAGGAGCTAGAGTACTAGCCAGATAGCTGGCTGAATGTGGAGCCGTGCCGACAGCTGAACACGAAGGCAGAGCGGCTGAATAGGAGGCTGGTGTTGACGAGAATCAGTGAAAAGTCCGCGAATTCTGGGAGGGCCTTTGTGGTGGTACTGACGAGAGAGTGTACATAAAGGAGACATTGTTGAAGGAAGTATGACATTATCGGAGAGGTGGGGCGAGCTGCAGCAACGAGAGAGCGAACCGGACGGCTAGCGCATCTTGGGGGTCGAGAATCGATAGTCGGTATGCGATGGTGCTGCGGGCCGGCTGGGCCCGCTACGCCCCTACTAGAGGCCACACCACAGGGCCTTATCGACGCATTCGGGCCAATGAGTATTCGTCCTAACAACACGGTTCGTCTTCAGATTCTTCTCCTTACCGATCATGTATCGGTGGCGAAATTTCAAATAAAATTACCCCAAACTCTCATAGTAACATGGTACTGTACTTTGTAGTTCTTACGAGTAAGTGGCATTTTATCGCTCGCCTGTCGCGCATAACTAATTTGTCAATTAGCGGCAAGAAACCTGCAATTTTTAAAGAGTCCGCGGCACGCGCGCCGAGGTCATCTCTCTTCCGAGGTGACCAAATTGTCCACAAAACCTCATTGAGAGAACTTCTAGGCGTTGCTGATCAGCGAGGGTGAAGCTGAAGGCGCTTTTTTGGAAAAACTACGTGGTCTTGGATGGTCCATCAACGTGGCGCCCGTTTCACAAGCCATCTACTCCGTCCAGCAACTACGTCCCATTCTTCTATTGCTTGACAACAGAATACCTGAATTACCAGCACTTTCTAGGTTGGTTTATTTGTTCCTTTAGGGAAATTTCCCATTTGGGAAGAAGTGCCCCAAGGGCTCTTATACCGATACCAACGACGACTTTGCCTCTCTCTGTATGTGTTTCTTCTTTCACCGCTCGTCTCGAATTACATATGAGTGTGTGTGTGGCGCTAGCACATTCCGTCCCAACTAATGCATATATCGCTTGTTTTGCTCTCACTGGCTCTCTAGCTTGTTCTCTGATGCATATTCCTGTGTATATACGTGTGTGTGTATAGCCTATATCCGTTTGTGTGTATTCCTAGGACTTGTAGGGTTTCTCAAGAAGAACCGTTTTTTTAAAGCTTCCGCGCCTAGGGAAAGTGTTTCTGGCTGTGATGGCCATGTCTAGTCGCATTTTCCGATGATAAATTGTCGCCAATTTCGTTGATGATGATGATGAGCAGAGGGCTCTCCCCATAGCGCAATATTCCCCCTCCTAGTTGTCCTGCTAGTGATGCTACTGTAGTCAACTAGCCAACTTGTAACCATTGTCACCGTTTAATTGCCATTTTCGTAGCGCTTACGCACATCGTCGGCCGTTTATCTAAGAATTTTATCACCACGCCTGAAGACGTAATCGACACATTCCAGCAGCAGTTCGGCGTCAATTGGGCGATCTTTGTTCGTCGTCGCGCGTCAAACGACGGGGAATATTCTACGGCACCGGATGTAAGCTTGCGGGTGGTAGCTGGGCCAAGGACAAATCATTAGTTGGGGATTTTGGTCGAGTCCGTACGACTCCCTCCCCTTTAAGGGTGGCTTGGTACGTTCATACCCCCCCCTAGTTCCCTCCTCTGATACGACGATCGAGCTGTCGACAGGGCTCATCATCGTTGGGGATTTCTCAACAGGGGGTCTTAATCGATCGCTGGGAGGAGGGTGGTCGTGATTGGTCCGAGAAAATTTTTTTGGTAGTTGATAAACGTGACGGGGGCGGTCGTATTTGCTCGTTGTTGTGAGGGGGGGGGGTAGCATTTGCCCTCTGAGTGATAATTGCGGCGTTGAGAAAAAATTTTTCCGGTTGTTGACTTCTCGCGGTTTTTTCTGTTTCACATGTGCTATATACCCCTCCGCTCCAAGGGGGAACTCTTGGGAAAAAGTAAGAAAATTTTTGGGAAGTCCCAGAAAAAACTGGAAAAATGGTGGAGTTGGGAGAATCTAGGAAAGTGGTAGGTAGGGCAGAGAAGAGGAGGGGGGGGTCATATTTTCTTCGCGGATTTTCTCGTACCACATGTGCTACATCCCGCCGCTCGACAGCTCGATCGTATCAGAGGGGAACTAGGGGGGAGGTCGTATCAAGCCACCTCCTAGGGGGGGTCGTACATACTTGACAAAAATCCCCAACTAATGATGTGCCCTGGCTGTCGAGCGGGAGGGGGGCGCGAGGTGAACCGCATATAAAACCTGAAGCCCATCTTACTAAGCACTTGCTTAGATTTTCTCAACATCCTACCTAGCCAACTTTTCAAGTTTTTTATGGGAATTTCCGAAAATTGCCTTTTTTCCTCGAAATTTTGCTCGAGCGCGAGGCGGCGGGGGTATAAAGCAACAGGAAAAACCGCAAAACGTCAACAACTGGGAAAATTTTTTCACAACGCCGCAAATCTCATTCAGAAGGCAAGTACTATCCCCCCCCCCTCTCCCAGCAACGATCAAATACCTCCCCCTGTTGTGGAAACTTGTGCTCAGGTTGGGCCAGTGGTTATGCTGAACGCTCTTTCAGCTAGAGACGAGTATATTTTGAAGGGGTATGCACAGAATGCTTGTGTCGTGGAAGCGGGCGAGTATAGGCGTGTCGTGATGGCTAATTGAATTTAACACCCACTTCTTGCCTAGCCAAGGGCTTCTTTTCCCCTTCCCTAACTAACAACGAACGCCACACAACGAACGGGGCTCTTCTGTCCCCTTCACCCAATCCATGATGAACACAACATGATGAGATTTGCACATAACCGAACGACGGACGATGTTTGCCTGAGGAATTCACATGGCGCTTTTCTTTCATGTCTTCCATAGCTTGTTGAATATGTAAACATCGCGTGAATGCAGCGCCGGGGTGTGAGGGTCGAGGGCTCGCCTGGGCTGCTGCTGTCTGCTGCTGCTGCTATGTCCCATCCCACAATGAATTCCCCATCTCCTGAAATGGGTTCTCCTGAAATGGCCGGTCGTCAAATCGACACACCAGCGTGATTATCAGTTCCGTTATCACCACTAGAAGGTGCTTTGTGTGTGTGTCGGGAGGGGGGATTTCTGGCGCTGATGTATTGGAAAGCACACATGACGAATGTGTGTGTGGACAACAACAGTAGCAAGCAAGGGGGGAGAGGAGAACTCTAGCCCGAGAGAAAGCATGAGTAAGACAAAACCAAAGCAACAGAAATCGCTCATCCTACCCTGCGTCTCTGACCACCCCCATTCACCATAGTGTCTGACCACTCTGCACTCTTTCACTCATTCACTCACCACACACACCCACTACTCCATGAATATCTCCGAAATTGGCAGGCAATTCACAGAGATTCAGCATCGAAGCATTATCCAGGGCCATGAACGCCTTTCCGGATGGCTGACTGGCAGCGACAGCAGCGCAGCAGCAGTAGCTGCTGAATGACTACAGCTGCTGAATATAACTAGCCGGTGACTAGAAGATGGGCCAGCTGGCGCCTTCATAACGACTAGATTAGAGCACTACGATCGATGTGTTATTTAATTCGATGAAAATTGGGTTGGAAAGAGAATTGAGTTAGGGCGGAGGAAAAGAGAGTGGGCAGAGAAAAAATGCTAGAGAGTGGAATCTCAGGTATTGTTCGCCTGGGAGGGGCATTTTTGGAATTTCTTTAATTCCTTTTCCACCAAAATAACATGTCAAGTTGTTTTGGTGGAAAATATTACTTATGAATGCTAATAAACGTCCCACCAAAATGAGCCCTGAAGCCTACACTCTTGTGAAGTCATACTCTTGTGAAGCTGCGTAATGATACAAGTGAGCCATGTTGGCTACAAGAATTTACAAGTGTTCACAAGGTGGCCTGTGTAGGCTTGACTGAGTACCATTTGTTGCCCCCACCAAGCCAATTGCACCGAATTCCAAGTAACTGCTGATTTCAGGAGTCTTCATTCACATACTAGCGAGGACGTGTTCTTTGTTGTGATCGCTGATAGGTGAGGGTTTTGTTTCTAGCCCAGTTATTTCGATTCATTGAAAATTCACTTGAAAATAACCCTTAAAGGGGTCTTGACCCTCCTCCCAGATCCGTTTAAAATCGATATTTTCCATTTATTCTTATTTTTCTAGCTGTTCTGATTCTTGGAATAGTCCGCTGCTTGGGGAAAACAATCCCTACCACAAGGGCGATTCGGGGATCAAATCTCGGAACGGCTCTCGTCAGGACCAACCAAGGGCCAAGCTTGTCCATACGGGTGGGCTGATTGGTTTCACCTTAGTCTGGAAGGATGAAAGCTCTGAATTTTGCAGCCGGTGCCCCGACAGTTATTCTGTACGCGCGGAATCGCATATGCCCGGCGCATCCCGAAAGACAAGCTGAAATCTTTTTTCCATTTAAGAATTCACCTTGAAAAAGTCTCAGAGAGCCTGAGTGTGGTGCATCCTCTAGAAACCGTATAGAAAGCAAGTTTTTCCATTTATTCAGGTTTTTTCCAGAGAGCTCTCGGTTCTCTGTAAGCTCTGCTCGGATTCATTGCTTCTAAAGCTTTCTGAAGAGTCGAAAAAACCAGTGGAGGGTCCACTGAAGCGAAGTCTCTCAAAAAAGTGTTCGCGATGGGGAAGTCCTTCGAGAGTGGTAATCAGGGCGTGACGTCGTTGAACAGTCTCCTAAAAAGCGATCATGTTTTAGTCGCTGGGAAAGGAGTCACATATTGCTCGCTGAGAAGGCCCTATACTAGTGTGGGAATTGTGGGAATTTTAAGACGTGATTTTCCTCCTCCTTCCCTCCTACCCCACCCGCCCTCCTCCATTCCCACTCGGCTAAGGGGCTGAGGGCGTTAAGCTGAGAATGGAACAGTGGATGAGAGATTTATGAAGAGAATTCTTCTAAAGAAACAGTTTAGATGTAGGAGTTCTCCTGACGTAATGATCGGAGCACGGCGCAATTGGTTATTTCGTAGGCGGGGAGTCGTATTGGAGTCCAGAGGAGGGTATGATATTTTGCTCACTGA